TAGAGGTAAGAGTGGCAGAACATAATCGGAGACGTCTCCGACGAGCACTGAACACCCAGGAACTATTCGGAGACGCACTCTCCCACATATATGCTCTGCCTTGGGGGGGGTCAAACTGCGGGTTATGTGCTGGAGATCACACATATAGCCATTGAAACATACGCAAATCAATTATTTTCCTGTATATTTCAAAACTAACTGCAAAATATCAAATTACGGGTTCAAACACGGGGGCATGCCCCCAGATTTTTTTACTTGGTCTAGAGGCACAAAGCATTTTCATTGGTCTATATCTATCGGGGACGTCTCTGGATAGACACTGTAGTGGAGGTTAGACGCCTGCCTGTTTGTTGCCCCATGATAACCACGGCAACAACAGCAACAGCAGGACGACACAGAGCCCCTCCCTAAAGTAAGAACATTTTAATAGTACTGCTGGGCTTTACAGCTACGGTACTGTGTGCTCCACAGATGGAGGAAAATAATAGACAGCGCTGTATTAGATATACACATGCATAAGATTAATATAATATGCATAATATTTATTATGTCTTAAGCTGATAAAACACCCTTTTTCCAATTTTACGCAAATTTTCTTAATTTGCTAAATCGAAAGCCTGATCTTGTGTGAAAAAAAAAATCAGCGAGAAACTGTGACTAGTTTTAGAATATAATAGACTTCAAATCTTCTTTAAATGGTAACGCTGACAACCCCCCCCCCCCCCATCTTTTTCACGAAACAGCTGTGAATATAATTTTTTTAAAGGCGTTTTCATCAGCTAACGGGAATTATATAGTCTAGGTGGCTCCGGTTGGATAACTTGCTATTCTGTGTTGGAGGACCTAACTTTGACATCACCCAGTCAAGTTTTTCGTTGTCTACACCGCTTTTGTGTAGACTGATCCTCATGCATTGTTGAATGCTTGTGCAGCTGGTATATATACGGGCATTCCTATAAGATGACCGAATCAGTACCACTTAATTCTTATAGTTTAAGCACGAGTTTTACGGCGCTTGCAACTGCGTCAGGTCATAATATGAATGCGCACTTGATTCCTTGATGTTCAATAAAAATAATTATGCCCCAAGACCGGTTTCATGTCTCTAAATTGACGGACTGGGATGAAACCTGTCATGGAGCACGAGCCAAAAATATTGGACATCAGAAAATTACATCTGAGGTTCGGTCACTATTTTTTAGTTTTAGTACAGGTTTTACGGCACTCGCAACTACATAAGGTCATATGAACGCCAAGGGGTGGATGTCAACAGAGAAGTCCTTACTGGGAATCAGACTTACTCAGCTCACCTCTCTAGCTTCTACAGCACAAAGTCTGCTTCGACAATCTAGGCACCCCGGAAATAGCGGGTCACAAGAGTGTGACAAACATACAAAAGAAGTAGAAGAAAAAGCAGCAGTTTCCTATTGTATTTCAGGCACAGTTATGAGCATGACATTGATGAATCAGCCCATTTACAATTCTACTGTGCATGGACGAGAAATGTCCCCCCTTCGGTAATCGCCTAAAGACAGGTTCGGTCACTATAGCTGAGCATGGAGAAATAGAGCATGGAGATAAATTGGTTTAAAGTTTGGCTCTCCGTAACACGAAGAAGACATTAAAGTTTTTAGTTTGGCGGCCGCTGTGTGTAAATCATTGCCGCTTCATTCAGTAGAGTACCAAAGTCTAAATAAATGCTCTTGTCACAAGCCTATAGAAAATAGAACAATGTTACGTTAAGGGATTTTCTGTCACGCGACCGATTTATACTGTGTAATAGCTGGCAGATTCAAGTACTGGTGCGTGGGGGAAGAGTCTCTAACCCTATCACCCTTCTCTCTGTCTGTCTGTCTGTCTGTCTGTCTGTCTGTCTGTCTGTCTGTCTGTCTGTCTGTCTTAAAA